CCACACCTCTTGCCTGCCCTCCCCGCCTCTCCCCCTCAGCAGTGAAGGTGCTCATGGTGGTCATCAGTGTCCTTACAGAACATTTAGCTCAAAGTTGCATAATCTTTAACTTTCCTCAGGGCCCAGCCTGTCGGTCTCCACGCCAGCCACTATGAGGCCAGGATGAATTCATTTGAAGAGGACAAGCACAAAACCTCCGGTAGAAAACAAATGCAATGTACCATAGTAAATGAGAGCAGCTTAAAAAAAAAAAAAAAAAAAAAGCACAAAATCCATTGGGGACCCCGTTGCCATAGGAACTGGCATTACAGCTTGCTTCCGATAATTAATGGAGGGTTTTGCTATTACTGTATTCTTGAAACTTCACTTTCCCCTGTGCTGCACTGCAGAATGCAGCATCCTCTCCCCATTCATAAATATTTCATGACCACTGGCTGCTGTGTTTCATCACCGCGGATAGCACTCGGCCTCATCCACCCCTTGCCAAATTCATGTTGTCCTGTCAGAGAGCAACTTCCATTTCTTCCTCTTTCTTCTGCAGCCTTCATGTATCTGGTTTGAAGTTCTTTACATTCCCAAACCCAGAAGGGTAGCTTTCATTGTGGCTTTGTCTTCAGACGCTGGACATCTCTTTCCTGTGCCTGTCTTATTTTCCTAAAGGTCCCGTGGGCCTCCCCCAGGGGCGTTGGTTCTCCTCAGGCCCTGCTGCCCTCTGCACATCTGCTTTGATGCAGTCCTGGGAGGATACTGGGCTTTTGAATTCTGGTGCCGCAACGTGCTGGCTGAGCCTCTGTTCCCTCATGGTTAAATAGTGATGCCACCTGCCCCGCAGGGTTGGAGAGGGAGAGTCAGATAAGATACAACACATGTAAAGTACCCGTCCCCCCATGGGTGGGCTCAAATGGCCATCGTGGCTGCTGGTGTTGGTTTGTTCTATTATATGTCTTGTTTTTGTCTAGATAAAATAAAATCTGTAACTTTTTTTAATTGACAAAATTGTATATATTTGTGTGTGCAGCATGATATTTTGACATGTAGCTAGTTAACCTGTGCATTACCTCGTATACTTTTTTTGTGATGAAAACACATAAAATCTACTCTTAGCAATTTTCAAGTATACAATATGTTATTAACTATAGTCACCACGTTGTGCAAAATGTCTTGAACATCTCCCTCCTGTCTAAATTAAAATTTTAATCTTTTGATCAATATTCCCCAATCCCCCCAACCCCCTGCTCCCTGGCAACCACCATCCTATTCTATGATTTTATGAGTTTGACTTTGTTTAGATTCCCCATATAACTGGGATCATGCTGTATTTAGCTTTCAACGCCTGGCTTATTTCACTCACCTAATGTCATCCAGGTTCATTCACGTTGCAAAGGACAGGATTTCCTTCTTTTTAGAGGCTGAATAGTATTACATTGTATCAATACATTATATTTTCTTTATCCATTCATCCATTGATAGATACTCCCTATCTTGGCTACTGTGAAGAATGCTGCAAAGAGCATGGGGGTGCTGGTATCTCTTTCATGCTGATTTCATTTCCTTTGGACATATACCCAGTAGTGGGATTGCTGGATCATATGGAAGCTCTATTTTTAATTTTTTGCAGAACCTCCATATTGTTTCCCATAATGGCTGTACTAACTTACATTCCCACCAAACATGCAAGGCTTCGCTTTTCTCCACGTCCTCAGCCATCCTAACAGGTGTGAGGTGCTACCTTATTGTAGTTTTCATTTGCATTTCTATGATGATTGATGAGGATTTTTTCATACACCTATTGGCCATTTGTACATCTTCTCTTGAGAAACACCTATTCAGGTCCTGTGTCCATTTGTTAATTGATTTGCAGATGTTCCTTGACTTACAATGGGGTTATGTCCCAATAAACTCATTGTTGGTTGATAATACCATAAGTCAAAAGTGTTTTTAGGCCAGGCACAGTTGGCTCATGCCTGTAATCCCAGCACTCTGGGAGGCCGAGGCAGGCAGATCACTTGAGCTCAGGAGTTCAAGACCAGCCTAGGCAGCATAGCAAAACCCCATCTCTACTAAAAATACAAAAATTAGCTGGGCATAGTGGAACATGCCTGCGGTCCCAGCTACTCAGGAGACTGAGGTGGGAGGATCCCTCGAACCCAGGAGGTGGAGGTTGCAGTGAGCCAAGATGGAGCCACTGCACTTCAGCCAGGGTGACAGAGCGAGACCCTGTCTCAAAATAAATAAATATTAAAATTAAAAAGTGTATTTAATGCACCTAATCTACCTACATCATAGCTTAAGCCTAGCCTACCTTAAGTGTGCTCAGAATTTAGCCTATGGCTGGGCAAAGTCATCTAACACAAAGCCTATTTTATAATAATGTGTTGAATATCTCAGGTAATTTATTGAATACTGAAAGTGAAAAACAGAATGGTTGCATGGGAATGGAAGTATGGTTTCTACTGAATGCATGTCATTTTCATATCATCATAAAGTTGAAAAGTCATAAACGGAAACATCGTAAGTGGGGTTCTGTCTGGATTTGTTTCCTTGCCATTCAGTTGAGTTGCTGTTGCTTTGACTTAAAAAAAGCTTCTTTCTCTTTGCTGCCCTAGTGGAGGGACGAGTCAGACACCACAACCCTCCTACAAAGGCTCTTCACAGGAGCATGGAGAGAGGCCTTGCCCTGGCCCTAAAGACACTGAGCTGTGGACAGTGCTGTTTAAAGGTGACAGGGATGACCGGGCATGGTGGCTTACCTCTGTAACCTCAGCACTTTGCGAGGCTGAGGTGGGTGGATCACCTGAGGTCAGGAGTTCAGGGTCAGCCTGGCCAACATGGTGAAACCCCATCTGTACTAAAAATACAAAAAACAGCCAGGCGTGGTGGGGGCTCCTCTGATCCCAGCTACTCAGGAGATTGAAGCAGGAGAATCACTTGAACCCAGGAGGAGGAGGTTGCAGTGAGCCGAGATTGCACCATTGCACTTGGGCCTGGGCAAAAAGAGTGAAACTCCATCTGAAAAAAAAACAAAATTCTGAAATGAGTCCATTATTTTAAAAAAAAAAAAAAAGAGGTGACAGGGACAAGTCCTGAGCTAGAGGGAATGGCAGGTTGATTCATGTGCATTTAGTGCAGAAACGGTGCTCAGCATCACCTTCTCCCCAGGACTCAGAGCCTGGCGCTCCCACTTCTTGCCTCCCCTAAGGGTGCTTCAAGGCTCAGTTAGTGAAGATCAGTGAGCCTTGCTCTGAGAAGAGGCACTGATGCTGGGGGTGGAACCGAGCCTTCTGCTCTCCTGAGGGAGCAGCATTTGATAGGACGTCCTGTGACTTGAAGCCCGGTGCTGCTGTGGGGTCTCGAGACTGGCCTGTGGGTGACTCGGGGAAACTCCCCCCTGACTCTGGGCTCGTTTCCTTCCACCTCCCACAAGAACACAAACAAGCCATGCTGTTGCTCACCACCTGACTCATCCAGCAAGGCTTGAGGGCTGCGATAACAGGCAAAGAGTCCTCCCACAACACCTCCTCGGCAGCCTGTTCTGGGGCACGGTAATTGTCCCTTGTCCCCATTAACCTTCCTCAGCACTGCAGGGACTCAGGGGCAGTTGCCTTTTGAAGCCACATACTGAAGGTGGCCCTGAACACCATTGGCCCATGGTCAGTTTCTCTCGCAGAGCATAGGGCCTAGGCAGATGCATACAGTGGGCCCAGGGGCCAGAGCCAGGCAAGGTGGATTCAAGGATGGGAGGAGCCAGAGGGGTCAAAACTGGAGAGAGACTGAATCCTGACATGAAGTCTCAGGAAAGTTCAGAGCAGAAGACAGAAGACCTGCCAAGAGGATTGAAAACTGCGATTTCCACTTGAAACGAGGAGCTGGAAGCAGAAAGTGAGGTGGGACTGAGCACAGAAAGTTCAATGGGCAAGGATGCAGGGATGCTTCATTGTCTCCGCTAAGGGGCTGCAGAGGGTCAGGCTAGTTAAAGGCACAAATGTGGAGTGACCTCAACCACTGAGGCTGAGTTTCTCTTACTGCCTTGAGCTTTTCCTTCAAATCCAGCCCTAGTCACACATGCTGGCTTGGTGGTTGTTACTGAGCTCCAGAAACCTCCCACCCAGGTCCTCCCATCATGGCAGTGATGGCCAACAGAGACACTGTTCCCTGTCCCTAGACTCCCCAAACTACCTCCAGGAGTTTGGGACCCTCTTTGACAGCACTTCCAGCTTTACGCAGACTGAGGAGGAAGCTGACCTGAGATTCACTGCTCGTTCCAGAAGCCCCAAGAGCACTAGTGCCATCTGACATTCTTCTCCAAACCCCTTGACCAATGAGGCCAGGGACCTCAGTGCAGCCTCATCCGCCTGCCCCTGGGGACATTTGCTGGAACTCTCTGCTGCTCTGATTCTTCCAAACCCTGCCTGCGGGGTGTTCATACCATTCTCGAAGAACCTGGGCTGCTGGGTATCTACGCACAGGCCCTGGGGGAAGGACCCTTTGCAGGGCCGGTGTGCGGGAGCCTCTCCTGTAGGTTCTCTCTCTCGGCCTCCTGCGCTGTTCTGGTTTCTGGGACACAAATTCAAATCCCTGCCCACACTCATCACTACTTCCTTCCCTGCTCATCTTTTTAATATTATCGTGCAATAAAATATGCATGATATAAAACGTACCATCTCAGCCACTGTGAAGGATGTAGCTCAGTGCTACATTCATGCTGTTATGCAGTTGTCACTACCACTCAGCTCCACGGCTTTTCACTCTCCCAAACTGAAACCCTGTACCCATTAAACACGAACGTCCCATTCCTCCCTTCCTCTCGTCCCTGGAAACCACCATGTCACTCCTGTCTATGAATTTCAAAATGGTGGGTGCCTCATGTGAGTGGAATCACAGAGAATTTGTCTTCTTGTGCCTGGCATGTTTCACTGTGCATAATGTTCTCATGGGTCATCCATGTGGCAGCATGTGGGAGAATTCCCTTCCTCTTTAAGGCTGCATCATATTCCATTATCTGGAGAGAACACATTTTGTTTATTCCTTTGTCCTTCAATGGACATGTGGGTTGCTTCCTTCTCTAGGCTATTGTGAGCAATGCTGTCAGGTACACAGGTGAACAAATATCTGTTTGGGCCCCTGCTTTCAATTCTTTTGGTTGTATACCCAGAGGTGGGATTGCTGGATCACATGATAATTCTATTTTTATTTTTTTGAGAAACCTCAATACTGCTTTCCACGGTGGTTTTACCATTTTACCTTCCCACTGACCATGCATGAGGATTCCAGTTTCTCCATGTCTTTAATACTTGTTATTTTCTGTTTATTTTTAGCTATGGCCATTCTAATAGGTGCAAGGTGGTATCTCGTAATTTTGATTTGCATATTCGTAATGATTATCAAAGTTAAGCCCCTTTTCAGGTGCTTAATGGCTATCTGTCTCCTTTGAAGAATGTCTGTTCAAGCCCTCTGCTTTTTAATTGGGACGTTTGTGTTTTCACTGTTGACCTTTTGGAGTCGCTGCTTATTTGAAAGCTCTTTGCGGTAGGCATCCTCATGAATGAGCCCTAACAACCCTCGGCCACTCACCCTTGAGAGTCCCTTTGGAGTCTGACCTCTGCAGCCACGTCTCCTTAGTCGTGCTCATCTCAACTGCTCTTGTTGCAAACTTCTCCGGGTCTCTTCCTTTGCAGCAAGAGTAAGAAGCAAATGGTAGTTTCCGGTCTGGGCTCCCAGTGGTTCCCCTTGCACAGGACAAGTGATGCGTTATTTCCCGGACCTCCCCTCCTGCTGGGGTCCCAGCAGGATCCTGGGTCAATGACCTCTGAAAACCATCCACGGAGTTCCTCTTACACCTCTTCCTGGGTCAGAGCAGAGAGCTCAGCGCCAAACATTTCATAATGACCGCTTCAAAGATTCTGCACCACACGCGCTTTGGGGATGCTCCAGGGGCAGAGAAAGGAAGTGTGCACTGGAAGCGTTATCTCGCTTCATTACCGCCTTCATAAAGATGGAGTACTTACCTGCCAGGTGGCACAGTGTTCAGTACTGGAGCTCATGTGAATGTCTACCACGCACTGCCCACCGGGACAAATCCTGGTTCCCAAGGCCTTCCATGAGTGATTTAGCTCATTTCTGGAATGTTTCAATGACACCACTTTCTAGCTCCAGGGAGACTCTCTGGAGAGTCAAAGCAACAAAAGGCAGAGAAAACAAGAAAGAAAGTAGGAGGAGGGGAGAAAGAAATGGAAGAGCAACAGGTTCCTTTTTTACTCTCAGACTTCCTCCTCTCTCCCACTCAGAGCCCCACACTCGTTTGCTTAGAAGTCGCCTGCTCGGCTGCCCTGAGACTTGCATTTCACTTGGGTCTGATCTTTGAAGATGATTTTCCCTAACATTGGGCTATCTGATGTATTTGTACGTTAGCTCCTTATCTGGGAGCAGCTGCCTCTCAAGGGAAGACATCTGCCCTTCAGAGCCAGCGTGGGGAGGGGGAGGAGAGAAGGTGGGGGGGGAGGAGAAGCAGAGAGCAGGGAGGGCAAGGACAGAACACAGGTGGGAGGAACAAGGTGCAGGAGCGTAGGGAGACACCTGATGCCATTGGGAGAGCAGCTACAGGGCCTTGCACACAAGCCGCATCTGAAGACTGAAAGGCTGGCCCCAACAAATCTTGTGAAATAGGGATGCTTCTTCTAGAACTGCTGCCCCCCTACCCCCTGCCATCAGCAGAAAATAAGGCTCAACTTGTGGCCTTTGGGACTCTACAAGTTTCTCAGAAGTGCCTGAGCCACCAGGTTGTAAAGCAGGGGATGTCATATGGGGGCCTGACCCTCCAACCTACTATCCAAGGAGAGCTACTTAGTTTATATATGTGTTCCTTGTGTATTAAAAATATGTTCTAGGGGCTGGGTGTGGTGGCTCACGCCTGTAATCCAAGCACTTTGGGAGGCCGAGGCAGGCAAGTCACAAGGTCAGGAGTTCAAGACCAGCCTGGCCAACATGGTGAAGCCCCGTCTCTACTAAAGATACAAAAAATTAGCTGGGGCAAGGCAGCACGTGCCTGTAATCCCAGCTACTTAGGAGGCTGAAGCAGGAGAATCACTTGAACTCAGGAGGTGGAAGTTACAGTGAGCTGAGATCATGCCATTACACTCCAACCTGGTGACAGGGCAAGACTTCATCTCAAAAAAGTAAAATAAAATAACATAACATAAAATAAATAAAAAGATGTTCCACTGCTTCAACATAAACACATAGATGACTGGCCTGGACCCCATACCCACCCCCCACAGAGGACCCTTCCACCTCAGACATCTCATGGTCTTCACCGTGCCCCAGGCATACAGTGACAGATGTCCACTCTCTGTTATCCATGAGGAACTAGCCAGGTAAAGCTGGCGCCGAAGGAAGGGAGTTGGATCAAGTCTGTGTTACTCACATAAAGAACTGTTACCCCTGGGAGCTGGGAGAAGTTGGAATTGATTGGAATGGCGAAGGTAGCCTGGCTGGGCCCAGGAATGCTGAAATTCATTCAAAGGAGACTTTCCGGGGTCTGCTGTTAGTCAAAGGGAGTCAAAAAGGGCAGATGTTAACTTCATATAGAAACTCTCTAGAAAAATTGATTTTTCTAGAAATGGAAACAAATGTTTCATAGGCCAGGCGCAGTGGCTCGCACCTGAAATCTCAGCACTCTAGGAGGCCAAGGTGGTAGGACCACTTGAGCCCAGGAGTTTGAGACCAGCCTTGGCAATAAGGGAGACCCCATCTCTACAAAAAAATTTAAAAATTAGCTGGGCATCTGTAATCCCAGCACTTTGGAAGATGGAAGACCGAGGCAGGTAGATCACAAGGTCAGGAGTTTGAGACCAGCCTGAGCAGCATGGGGAAACCCTGTATCTACTAAAAGTATTTTAAAAATTAGCCGGGCATGGTGGTGCATGCCTGTAATCCCAGCTACTCAGGAGGCTGAGCCAGGGGAATTGCTTGAACCTGGGAGGCAGAGGTGACAGTGAGCTGAGATCCCACCACTGCACTCCAGCCTGGGCAACAGAGAAAGAGTCCATCTCAAAAAATAAATAAATAAATAAATAATAAAAATAAAAAAGTTAGCTGGGCGTGATGGCATGTGCCTGTATTTCCAGCTACTTGAGAGGCTGACTCAGGAGAATCACTTGGGCCCTTGGGTTCAGGGCTGCAGTGAGTCATGATCACATACCACTGCGCTCCAGCCTGTGCAGCAGAGTGAGACTCTCTCTCTCTCTATCTCTCTCTCTCTCTATATATATATATATGTATATTATATTATATATATATTATATATATATATACACATACACACACACATATACATATATATAAATTTTTTAAAAGAAATGTTTTATAGAACAACAAATACTTGGTCATTTAACCATTTTCTTATTGCTCTCAAAGTCTAAATGTCTCTTGGTAGAGAAGCTGACTAGAAATCTGCAGAAACTCAGGAATCTGGGGTCAGCCTCCTGAACTGGTGATTCTCAACACCGGCTGCATTGTAGGACCTCCCAATGGGTTAGTTAACACTTTGTCCAAGCCCCACCCTCACCGAGTCTGGTTTAACTGGCCTGGGTGGAGCAGACACAGAAATTTGTTAAACGCTTACCAGATGGTTACAATGGGTAGCCTGGGTTGAGCGCCATCAAGGCAAAGTGAAAGTTGCATGACTTCTAGCAGCCACGCCCCTTATTTATGCAAAGGAGTTGAGAACTTATGGATGTTTAGAGCCACTTTATTCATATTTGCTAAAACTTGGAAACAACCAAGATATCCTTCAGTGGGTGAGGGGATAAACCCGGGTACATGCAGACGATGGCATGCTACTTAGCGCCAAAGAGATTTGAGCTGCAAAGCCATGAAAAGGCATGGGGGAACCTTACATGCATATTACTGAGTGAAAGAAGCCCATCTGAAAAGGCTGCATGCTGTATGATTCCAACTGTATGACATTCTGGAAAAGGTGAAACCATGAAGAGAGTAACAAGATCAGTGGTTGCCCAGGGGGAAGCAGAAGGGAGGGATAAATTGGTAGAGTACAGAGGATTTGCAGGGCAGTGAGACTACTCTGATACTATAATGATAGATACATGTCATAATGCATTTTTCAAAACCCATAAAATGCCCAACACAGAGAGTGAACGATAAGGCAAACTTTGGACTCTGGGTGATAGAGATGTGTCAATGTTGAATTGAAGCAAACATGCCACTCTGCTGGGGGATGTTGCGTGTGTAGGGTGGCGGTACCTGGGATATCTCTGTACTCTGCTCAATTTTTCTGTGAACCTAGAACTGCTCAGGAAATGAAGTCTGTTTTTTAAAGAAAAAAGCGTTGGTTCCCTTCTCCCCATCCGACAAACAGCCCCACCTGCTCATGCAGTGTCAGCCTCATCCAGGATACGATGGTGTGAAAGTCTGAGTCAATGGATTTGGCCGTATTGGATACCTGCTCACCGGGGTAGCTTTTAACTCTGGCAAAATGGGCATTGTCATCATCAGTGATCTCTTCATTGGCCTCAACTCCATGTTCTACATGTTCCAGTATATTTCATGGCATGTCCAATGGCACAGTCAAGGAAAGAGAATAGGAAGCTTGTCATCGATGGGAAGCCAATCTCCATCCTCCAGGAGCAAGATCTTGCCAACATCAAATGAGGCAGCTCTGGTGCTAAATATGGTGCAGAGCCTACTGGCATCTTCAGCACCATGGAGAAGACTGGGGCTCAGTTGAAGTTTCCAAAACAGCTGTCATCCCTGCCCCTCGTGCTCTTGTGCAGATTGCCCCATGTTTGTAATGGATGTGAACCAAGAGAAGCATGAATTCTCTTCTTGAGATTGTCAGCAATTCCTCCTGCACCATCAACTGTTTGGCACCCTTGGCTAAGGCCATCTATTTCTACAGCCCAGGTCACTACTGCTACCCAAAGACTGTGGACAGCCCCTTGGAGAAACTTCAGCGTGACTGCGGCAGAACACCATCCCTGTATCTTCTGGTGTGGCCCAGGCTATGGGCAAGGTCATCCCTGAGCCAGATGAGAGGCTCACAAGTATGGCCTTCTGTATTTCCACCCATAATATGTTGGTCGTGGCTCTCATCTGCCATTTGCAGAAAGCTGGCAAATATGATGGCATGAGAAGATGGTGACAAAGGTATTGGAACCCCCTCAAGAACATCCTGAGCTAAACTGAGTACAAAGTTTTCTCCTCTGACTTTAAGAGTGGCACCTGCACTCTTCTACCTTCAATGCCAGGACTGGCATTACCTTCAATGGCCACTTTGTCAGACTCCGTTCCTGGGATGGCAATGAATTTGGCAGCAGCAACAGGGTGGTGGACCCTATGGTCCACATGGCCTCCAAGGAGTAAGACCCCCAGACCACCAGCCCCATCAAGAGAACGAGAGGAAGGGTGAACTTCCAGCTGCTGGGGAGTCATCTCCCCATTCAGATTCCCCAAAGTCAGTTTCCATTCCAGACTCCTGGAGGAAGGACAGGGGCTTAGGGAGCTTCATCAATGAAGTACACCATCCCCAGCCAAAAGGAAAAGGCCACATAACTTAACATGGGCAAGAGTCCTCTCACATGACGCATGGTATTGAGTGTTTGATTCGTGGAACAGAAGAGTGGTCCAGTTTCTAAAGTTTCTAATCGTGTGTATATTGAGAAAAGTGAAATCATTACAGTTGCTCATTAGTTGATGTGATGCTATGGTGTCTTTTGATGGAAGTGCTGCCATAAGCTTTTCCCTCTGGCCAATCCCCAAGACCAGGCTGCTCCAGAAGGACTTCTGAGAAGAATAAGACTCCAAAGACATTGAGGATCCCCCAGTTCAAAGGAGCCCTCCCTAGCTCAAGGTTGCCTAGAATTCCAGCCCTCTTCTTCCAGGCTTTATGGGGCTGGTGTTCCTGGGAGTGCCCGTATCACAGTGTGAGTAGCTATACACCTAGTGGGACTGTGTTGCACCTGTTCCCGGGAGGAGGTGTGACAGGAAACAGCAGGACGAAGGACAGCACACAGGCACGTGGGGGTGAGAAGGCACTGGCATATCCCTCCCACCTGGGGGTGGGGCTTGCTGTAGGAGAGGCATTGTCTCCAGGGGACCCCTCCCTTTACCAGTGTGTAGGTTGCTCAGTGGGTCCTGAATGTTACAGTCAAACACTAGCCAGGGCCCCTGCCACCTGAGGCAGAGGCTGAGTGTGTGGGGATGGGGTTCCCACAGCCCACCGGCAAACTCTTTGGGATCACACACATCTTAAGGGCAAAGGAAAAGAATCCATGCCAAAATCCATGCTAGCCTGTGTCCCTCTCTTCTCAAAACTGCTTTGGGAGTTTTAGTTCTTGGAGAAATCACACACTTCGAGTCCAGTTTTAAGACTTTCCACATATTCCTTGTGAACGAGGATGCACACTTCTCAAGCCTGAACAGTTTCTAAAAAAGCCACAGTTGGCTATTCCAGGAGCAGTGTCAGAAAAGCGAGTGGTCTTCCTGGAAAGCCAAGGGGTGACACACCCCTGCAGGGGTTCATCCTCTGCATAGCACATTTAAGTCAAAGCTCCCCACACACCGGGTTCAAAGGAGCAAGCTTGGGGATATTTTGAAGATCAGCAGAGGGTTCCCATGATGTGGGCAATTCTCACTCACACCCTTGGAGGCATCAGCAGGGCTGGCTGGGACGCAGGCTGCAGCTTGTGCTGGAAGTGATATTCACTCTCCAAAGGAAACCTGGACTGCTTCTCACTTTGTGAATGTTGGAATGTGGTGGAAAGAGCTGCTGGTCCACAGTCTGTATAACCCTATGGTCGAATCTTCATCTCAGAGTGAATGCAAATGTCCTGTGGTGCCTACCACCCTGGAGAGTATGAGGATCAAAGGAGGTGCTTTGGAAACACCTTGAAACTGTATAGAGCTTTTGGATATAAGAGCTTGATACTCCCTGATCTCCCAGTGGCCCTTTGGGAGGAAATGGGATCAGTGTTGAACCCAGTGCAATGCTCAGAGAAGTCAAGACACAGGGTAAATTGGTTGAAGAGGTCATTCGTGCCTGTCCTGCACATCACAGATGCAATCATTTTTTTTTGGTTGCATGATGCAGGTCTCCATGGCTTCCAAAATAATGAATCCTCCAAGTTCAAGTATATTTTTAGATTTCTCATCAGAGTTCTTTGAGAAAGGGAAACTTTGTTTTCAGTGTCTCTTTTTCGCAGAGGACAATTAATACTACTGATAAAATTGCTGGTTCTGTGGGTAGGGCGGTGATGCTGGGATCACATGACCTTCAGCCCCTTGAGTTGCTGGAAGCTGCTGCCTTCCCGAGGGAGCCTAGCACACCGGGGCTGTGCAGGAGGAAAGAGGGAGCCCATGGGTGTGGGGTCACATTGTGAACAGCCAGCCAAACCCTTGGATGGTCTTGGCGCCCCTGAAGACACAAGACAACGCCCCTTGTAAATAGGCTCCTCCAGCTCAGGCAGTTGACAGTTTCAAGAAATCCGTTAG